TGCATCTGTCTTGTCCGAAACCATCGGCTACATTAGATTCCTTCAAGCTCAAATTGATGTAATGCTTCATATTCTGTGTAGTAAATACTCGTCCGTACTAAAACGAACAAATTCTAACTTCTTTTTTCATTTTTTTACGTTTTGTCCATTGACATTTAATTGTGCTTTGGATTCAGGCACTCTACTCTCCATATATGCGCAATGGATCAGGAAACATAGGTCACCAGCAGTCTGTAAGTATCTACGTAAGTAAATTAGTTTCACATTTCCAATGCAAGACCAAGATCCTCTCTCTCTTTTTCACAACACGCACATTGACACCACATCCATCAAAAAGTACACACATTGACTACGAAGACGTGGTACACGACACGACATTTACTTTTTTGGAACGAAAGAAATCGATACACGTAGGCATGTCTTTTGAAATTATATATTCATGTTGCGTGTTGGACTTGGTCCAATAGTGTGATGAGACCCATGTCATGGATTGTCAATTGAACTAGAAGTGCTGGTATTCAATATGTATCAGACACAAACACGCTATTATAAAGAGTAATCCGTACTTCATAGCTTATTTATGGAATTAACTAATGATAAAGAACAATTTTTTTCCCAGGTTCAAGAAAGGAATTGTTTATTTCCTGATGAGCCTGTTCAGGTAAGCTTTATTGGATCCATCACTTACCTAAAGTGGCTTTGAATTGCTAAAGCATATAATGTCCGTATTTAATTGACAAAGTTGTCTCTGTAAAAACAAGTTTTTCAGCTTTATTGATCTTCATTACTTAAAGTAATGAAATAATTTGTTAGTTTCTGACATTTAATTTCATTTTTTCTTATTTCCCTTCATCTAGTTCTTCAATGAGATTGGATATGAAGGGAGAGAGGCATCTAAGCAGGTAAATTTTTTCCTTAAAACACAATTTGGTAATAAATAAAAACTATTTTATTATAACTAAGAACATGTTAAGAATTTTACTGAAATATATGTTGTTTGATTTGATGATGTTAGGGAAAACAAAGCCAAGTTAATGACTTGAGAAGTAGAGGTCTATGTTTGGTTCCTGTGTCTTTCCCTCAACATTTGGGACATGACATAAATGGAGCATCTGATTGCTGGACTCCATCTCTGGGTGGAGGGTTCTGAATGTAATTTCCGTTGAATCGCCTCGTCTAAAAACTCGAGTTGTTATTGATTTGTTCCCTCAAATATAACTTTTAGACGAGGTGGTTCGACAATTTTCTATGCTTGCCTTGTGAAGTGCTATAACATCACAAGCAGTCAGTCTCTAAGTAAAGGTTGACTGCTGCTGATGCTATTATGCATATTCTAATGGGAAAGAAACTTGATGCTAATATGCTTTCAAGCATGGAATTAATTTGGATATTGTTGAAATTGGAAAATATTTCATTCAAATTTGAATTATTTATGGAAAATATTTCATTCAAACAAAACAACCTCGTATAAATGGGATGGAAGGATTAGTAGTTTGAAAACTTATTATAGTTACTTGTACATTTTGACAAGAAGATTAAAAGTAAATTTTCCTATGTAAAAATGAGTAGAAACTCATCCAAACATATTATCATAAATCGTAGTCAAACATCACTTTAGGTATCGACAGTTCTTTTCATTGACTGCCAATGGGATGCCATCTCTTTGAGGTATCAAACGTTTTACTCATTAATCCTTATATAGCGTCACCACGCATATTTAAAGACACGTGTCCTATAAAAGTGCTTTTGATTATATTAAGAATCACCTTTTTTTAATCTGTGTTTACGTGTGTTTAAAACTCTCTGAGTGGGACGCAATCCTGTCGTCATAAATTCATCATAGGCATATTCTTATAAAAAAATTCCTTTTTTTTCCTTGCTTTATAAATGGCACCATCAACTTTTTGACAATCTACTCGTTTTCCACTCACAAAAAGAAACATTACTATGACCCGTTGGGCGGAGACTTGTATTTTTGCTTCTGTATTTTGGTAGAAGAGTTTTTGAGAAAACGACTAAAAGCTCTTCTAGCCAAACGAAGCACTTTCAAAAATTTATCCAAACACGTTTAAAATTATTTTTTTAGTTTTAGAAATAGTTGTCGACTTTTCAAAATCCGTGTCAAACCAACCATGTATATATTAATGTTTTATAGAATGTAGTGTGCAAATGGGAAATTTTTGTGGGTAAACAAAACTTAAGTCAACATAATTATCAATTCATCATGTACTAAAATATCAAAAACATGGCTTGTCTGCTTGTGCTTTTCGAAAGGGCTTAATTTTTGAAAAGCAAAGAAAGTGACATTGATGCTGGTAGTGAAGGTAAGGGTCGACTTATTTCATCGAAAAATTTAAAATGATATTAAAAAGTCAAAAAATTTGGAAAAAAAAATGTGGCAATAATTCAAATGTTGTTGAGATCAGAAAACTTTGTGCAAATAGAGAAAAAAAGGCATTGTAAAAAGGGTTATGTCATGGGTACATAACCCTTCACATAAGAGGCACATGGCGCCTCTCCATTGGAGGGGCGCCTTGGCCCCACATGTGGGCCTAGCCTTTGTGTGAACCCTTATGGTACATGCCAATAGCATTTCCCTTGTAAAAAATAAAATATAAGAATGAAATCCACCAAATGGAAGAGTGGATTGCTGTCATTGAAAGTCAAACTCAAGACTCTATGAAAGCTGGTTGTCTTGGCTCTTCGATTTGTTTTATATTTTCTAACTGTTTTAAATAAAAGATAATTTAATTACACCATTAGACCTTCTTTTTTACTAAAAGTTCAAATATGACCTCTTCAATCAAAACTTTAATTAGATATACCCCACTTTGAACTCTTATTTTCTCAACAAAAAAAAAAAAGATTTGCAAAACATGGGTTAAACACAAAGCAGCCAATTTCTTTTCGTAATGTAAAAGAGGGTTTAATATCACGTTCACATGTGAAACCATACAAGAAGTTTTGAGGTGGTTTTTTCTACTCGGATTTCAACTTTTTTACTTTTCTAATAAAAAAAATTGACCTACTCCCTAGTCAAAGATGTATACTACTACACACATGTAACCCGTTCGTGATAACGTTTTTGGATTTTGTCCGACACGTTACTTCTGCCTTCCAAAACCGAGTTGTGTATCATCCGGTTTGCAACTCCTATTACATTCATTGCCTTTGCCCTACAACATGATGGAACCCTTTAAGATTTAGCTTCCTATTTGGCCGCCTCCTTAAAAGCTCATTTTCTTCGCACTCTTCGTCGACCACATATTTCATGGAATTCACAATTTTTTATCAAAATGTATTAAATATCTAATTTTAATCAAAATCAAAGAAAGGCTTGGTTAAAATTGTTTTATACCGTCCAATATTACCTTCTTCCAACTCAAACGGAATATAACTACCAAATCAAATTATTTGTCCATAATTATCCTAAGAGCAATGCTATTCATCCCTACTGGAGTTGCATCCCCAGTCTAGGTGGCGTTAATGTGGCATTAAATTATAGGTGAAATTAAATATGCAGTCTATGTGGCGTTAATGTGACATTAAATAATAGGTGAAATTAAATAACTTAATGTCACGTTAGCGCCACCTAAACTGGGGTTGCAACACCACTGGAGCTACATAGCATTATTGTTGTCCTAAAAGCACACGATCCCAAACCCTTTTTTTTCTACAAATGTTATTCAAAATCCCATGATTTTCACCGAATCCTTGAAACTTCCCGTAAAAAGGAGCAACAAGCCCTGAAGGCAAGCCAACCACAATTATATATACTGATTTAAACAATTCATTCTACATGACTCAGAAAACTTCTCTCTCTTTGCAATGTGTAAACTTTTTTTTTCTATTCATTTTTCCCCTCAGCAATACACTACAATTTCTTTTCGTAATGTAAAAGAGGGTTTAATATCACGTTCACATGTGAAACCATACAAGAAGTTTTGAGGTGGTTTTTCCTACTCGGATTTCAACTTTTTTACTTTTCTAATAAAAAAAATTGACCTACTCCCTAGTCAAAGATGTACACTACTACACACATGTAACTCGTTCGTGATAACGTTTTTGGATTTTGTCCAACACGTTACTTCTACCTTCCAAAACCGAGTTGTGTATCATCCGGTTTGCAACTCCTATTACATTCATTGCCTTTGCCCTACAACATGATAGAACCCTTTAAGATCTAGCTTCCTATTTGGCCTCCTTAAAAGCTCATTTTCTTTGCACTATTCGTTAACCACATATTTCATGGGATTCACAGTTTTTTATCAAAATGTACTAAAAATCTAATTTTAATCAAAATCAAAGAAAGGCTTGGTTAAAATTGTTTTATACCGTCAAATATTACCTTCTTCCAACTCCAACGGATTATAACTACCAAATCAAATTATTTGTCCATAATTATCCTAAGAGCAATGCTATTCATCCCCCACTGGAGTTGCATCCCCAATCTAGGTGGCGTTAATGTGACATTAAATGATATGTGAAATTAAATATGCAGTTTAGGTGGCGTTAATGTAGCATTAAATGATAGGTGAAATTAAATAACTTAATGTCACATTAACGCCACCTAGACTGGGGTTGCAACACCACTGAAGCTACATAACATTATTGTTGTCCTAAAAGCACACGATCCCAAACCCTTTTTTTTTTTTCTACAAATGTTATTCAAAATCCCATGATTTTCACCGAATCCTTGAAACTTCCCGTAAAAAGGAGCAATGAGCCCAGAAGGCAAGCCAACCACAATTATATATACTGATTTAAACAATTCATTCTACATGACTCAGAAAACTTCTCTCTCTTTGCAATGTGTAAACTTTTTTTTTCTATTCATTTTTCCCCTCAGCAATACACTGTAAATCAAAATTATTTGAAGAAATACTAAATCTACCATAGTGCTGCATACCTGATCTGCTCCCAAAACAACTTGGCAACGAAGAAAAAGTTAAATTCTTGTCCGTTTTACTGTTGAGTCCTATCAACTGTCAAACATGTCCTCATTGTTTATCATCAGCAAACTTTTTCTTAAGATGTTTCTTGTTTACCTGAAATCGGGGGCACAGTTAGAGTTTTCATGGCAATGAGCATATGGAGTCCGGGATCATTGTGAAAGGAGCATCAGCAATATTTGTAAAATGAGGATACGAGGGTTGGTTAAATCACCTTCCCCATAGCATTCCGGGGTAGTGCATTCCACAGTAGCAAGCGGGTTGGTATCTGGATTGGTATGATGAAATGAGATGCTCAGACAATAACAACAATGATAAAAAAGAAGAGGAAGAGGAACTCTTTTGACAACCTGAAAAAACCAAAACGCATGGCCTCCCTCAAAAAAGGAAGACTCTTTAATAGTCAAAATAATATCGTCTACAGATAGAAAGTAAAGATAATATAAGATAAAGTGATCCTAATAAAGATGGAAGTTACATGAAAATATAACTCAATCTGAATAAAAAAAAGTCTTCCCAAGAGTAGGTTGAATATTAAATGCAACAAGATGCTTGATTCGCAACCAACCAACCCAAAAATGACTTCATTTTGTAGTTACTTTTTCTGAAGGGGGAAAAAGGCCGTGGGAGGGACCGCCACCCGTTTGCTAAAGCACAAAGAAATCTTTTAGAATTTTGACTTCTTGATCCAGCTGACTAGAGTGTACCTTCCGGAAAATAAAGAGACTTCGGAAAGTGGGATTCGAAGGCCATATACAACTCATCAAGGAAAAAAAATTAAATAGAATAGGGTAAGGTAGGGATGAGAAAAATTACAGTTGGAATTCAAATTTTCAAGTTTTTGCTCTCAAGAAGCCAGAGTAGAATGTGGTGGAACTGAAAAAGATCCCCAAGCAGATCTCAATTATCGATATATTGATAACCTCGGAGGACTTCACCAGATGGAGTGAAAAGAAACGTCAAAGTCATTGATTTCAGATATGGGGAGCTCTATACATGGATCAAAGCAAGCTTATTTGCTTGTAGTATAGAGATTACTAGCATGGTTATTTTGTCCCACGCCAACACCTTAAATAAGGCTATGTGTGATACCTTGTAGGGTGCAAGTTTCACTTTAGCCCATATGGAAAGTTCTTCCAAAGTTAGAGCAGGCTTCAACTCCTCGTCCCGTTTTCTTTTCAGCTCTGCCGCAGGCACAACTATTGCACACACAGCTTCCCCATAGTCTTTGTCAGGTAAACCCAACACGCAACACTCTGCAATAGCTGGATGCTGTACAGAGTGAAGTTTATTAACAAAATGTTTAGCTAAAAGCTTAAAAGTCAATTTTACTTTGAAGTAAATTTTTCCTTCCAAACATGGTTGGATAAGTTACTCTTTCTTGCTCAAAATAAGTAATTTACTTATTTTTTTCATCATTAACCAACAAAAAATTACTTACTCTAAAACTAGTTTAATTATAGGAACACTTATAAGCTAAGCCAAACATGCACTAAATGCGGCTTGTATCGTTCTAATCAACCATTTCCTCCTCAGAGAACAATATGATAAAAATATACAAGGAAAACTATGTATCCTCTATCATAGATCGACTGTTTATGGAAAAAACAATAAACAAACCTCTAAAAGAACTGCTTCAATTTCTAGCGCTGATAACTTGTATCCACCAACCTTCATAATGTCAGCGCTAGTACCTGAATCGTAAGACAATTTTTTTTTTTTTAGTAACCACCACTGTGGATAAAAATTAATGAACCACAGGCAGCAAGCAATAAGTGGAGGCAAAAATCAATGGCATAGAGCAAGGAGAGCAGATTAAATACATTTGCATCATATGGAATCTTTTGACTGATAATTTTGCAAGATATTCTCTTAGGAAAAGACAAGCTCATACCAATTCAACAGAGATAGAACAGATTTGAAAAGCTAAAACACTCTTACGTCCCAAAATGACGTAGTATCCATCTTCATCCATTCTAGCAGAATCTCCAGTCTTGAAAAATCCATCATCACTAAATGACTCCTTAGTAACCTGACATGTGATAGCACAAGTATATTTGTTAAGCGGCTGCAACTCAAATTTTAAAAGTAGTTTGAACTTTGTATATTGAATTTAAGAAAGATGCAACACGAAAAATTTGAATTGAACACTTGATTTTAAAAAATAAAAAATAAAAAATGAGATGCTAGAAATGGAAATTTCTGTATTTTGTGCAAGTTGAATGGTACTTCTGACATTTAACCTTATTAAATGACTTGGGAAAGTCTACCCTAAGGGGACAGAATATACACTTGGAAAATTCAGCCAAAAGCAGTGGGTTTTGAGAGCCAAAATTTCCTGAAGCAGCAGAAAATAGAGGACAATGGAAGTTCTGGTAGTTTTGATCAAACTGTAATACCTCCGTGGTTCACAGACCAATCGACTTGAAACTTGGACTGCAGGTTCACAAGACAACGTTCTTCAAATCCACAGGGTTAAGATCAAGATTCAATGTTTCAGTAGTGAATTATGGACATTTGCACCATGAAGATTTTGGGGGAGATCTTTTCTTGCACTTGAATTGTATAGCCAAGAATGTAGTTCTTGAAGTTGACGCGCGCCTCTATTTCTCAGCTAAGGTAAAGTCTCTTTTTTTTGGGTTCCATCTTTGGTAGAAGATTATATCATTGATGTGTCAAAGAAAATTGAATTGTTGTGTGCTTAGAGCGTTGACTAGATAGAACCTTGATTTCCCATTGTTGTCACAATGAAGATGTTGGATGTCAGTCTTTGTTGGAACGTGGGCCAAAAAGTAATAGTTCTGCTGTTCCAGGTAAACAATTTGATTGTTATTAAATAACTATTACATTAATTGAATGTTGCATAGTTTTATTTAATTGAGCATGTGACGAAGTGCCTTCAAATGCTTTGTAACAATATAAGTTGTGTTTGCATAGAGAAGCACACTATTCGTGAGCTCGATGTGTGACATCAATTAATATACCTTGGTATGTTGGAAGCTTAGAGAAACAAAGCAATGAACACGTATTCGTGTTAAGAAACCATCACTCAGTTTGAAATGGTCAGAGTTAGCTTAATTATGTTCCACTGAACGGTTTAAATCTAATCCCAGTCTTTAATGATGGCTAAATGATAACTGTGATTTGTTCACAACAAAAACTATCACAGAAAAAGTGAGCTTAAGAAAATAGTTAGAATGACAAAGAGGTCATTTTAGCCCAAGTCAAACTATCAAATATTCGATGGGGTAAGACATTAAGTTGGTAAGTATGGGGATATAATTGCAAAGGAAAATCAGCTTTTATAATTTCTTATGTTTCAAGAGTACAATCTAGGGCCTTTAGTGGAATGAGCAGAGAGTGATAACGAGTCTAACTATTGGAGCTTGAATTGTATAGGTGCCTTCGGGAGCTTCGTTAAAAGACACATAATTATGCAAGCAATTAAAATTTTGGGTTGCACAGTTGACCAAATCAAATGATTGGCAAGGTCAAACTCAGGTTTGACCAAGTCAAAATTGATTTGACCGGGTCATTAATTGAGTTTAAGTTAATGAGAACTTCAAATTGAGAATTCAAAAGTACCAAAAAAATCCTAATTGCACCTGGACACGAACAAACTGGAAAAAGTATTGAACAATCAAGGAAGAGAAAATTTTTGTTTTTCATGATTCCGCAAACTAGTTTTTAATAGTCTCATGGTTTTTCTCATTGATATGGGGTTTTCCATGTTAAAAGTTCTTATCTTTGATTGGGTTTGTTATTATTGTGTATGTACTCTATTTGATATTAGACTTCACAAGGAATTGTTCGTTCTGTTGCATTGTCCCTCATATTGTTTGGGATATTTTTAGTAGGTTTTTCTTCCACCAAAGAGGTGTTAGAAAAACATCAACATCCAAACAAAGATCAGAATAATGCAACTGAATAAAATAGTTCTCCCTCCTTGTCAAGACCTAATAGGAAACAAACAAATGGAGTATATAAGCATTATAAAAATGCACAATGAACGCAGTCAATTTTTAATGAGGATAACCTCCCCAATGCAATGAATTAAAACCACGGGCCTCTAGTCCACCAAAAACTTCCACTATAATCAATGATGGGAATATAATATCCTCCCTAGTAAAACTTGAGCTCACACCGACGTCGAGAATGCAATATTCTTGACACGTCAACAATACCTCATCATCTATCAAAGATAGAAACGAAAAAACAAGGGAGAGTTCGCCTAGTAATCACCTAGCGAAAAGAACAATATTCTTCAAAATAGAACTCAAATCCAACAACAAAAGGGATATATCTCACCAACAAATCAATGATTATTTGGACAATAGAATTCACTACTAACTGTTGGATCTTGATGTCTGGTACGTAATTGATGAATAATATGTTGTGCACTTGTACCTTTCAAAAAAAAATATGTTGTGCACTTGTAGTTGAAATTTTAGCTCAGTAGGAGATCAGAACGCTGAAATATTAACTTTTGATCATGAGCGCATAGACTGCCCTGTTTTCACAATTCTCTGTCTCTACCCTTAAACTATCAATTTTTGGCTTCTGTATTGTTCTGTGTGTATTCTGTCCCCTTGGGCAGAATTTCTCAGATCATTTAGTCACACTTAAATCACAGAAATACCCATCAACTCGCACAATGTACCAACAAAGCCATTTGCGTTAAATTGGTCAATTTAGATTAAAGTTTGGTGACTTTTGTCCACTCAGTGCACTCACTACATGTGGTGGTTTGAAATTGAAAATACCTCTGGAAGCTTCCAATATCCCTTAAATAGAGAAGGACTTTTAATGTAAAGTTCGCCCACCTCCGTATCACTGCTACCATCTTCTGCAACGATTTTGGCCTATTTCAGGAAATGAATGTTCACAAGTTATATATGCAGCATAACAACATATCAAAAATATTGTTGCATCTAGAATTAATAAATTTATCACAGTCGTACAAAAATTTTAAAAGAAGTCTAAGGTCGTCTTTTAAATAATGTTAATCACGCCCCTAAAAAGATTAAAAAAGAAAGAAGTATTGTTAAATATCCAGTAGAACATATACTCGCCATAGCAACTTAGACCTAGATCGTACTCTCATTGTAAGTAGACAAATCACTGGAATTTAATCTGTGTATAAAGAACTTTTTCATGTAATGTAATGACTTTTAAATGTTGATTTCAACTGAAAAATCTGTGTATAAAGAACTTTTTCATGTGATGTAAAGACTTAGCGTTGATTTCAACTGAAAAATCTCACTGACCTGCACACCTGGAAGTGGCTTGCCAACAGTGCCTCCTTTCCGCTCACCTTTTAAGGGATTAGAAATTCCCATGGCAAACTGTGATCAAGGAATCATTGACGTAAACCAGGAAAATGGATTGTAAATAGTTTATTTCTTAAAAGTCTCCATTCAAGCCCTAAAAGCAGCTTAGATAGTTGACATACCTCAGTCATGCCATATCTTTCCAAAAGGCGATGTCCAGTGATGGTTTCCCATTGTTGCATAACAGGAAGAGGGAGAGCAGAGGAGCCACACATCTGGAAATCAGACAGCCCATAAAGTTAAAATGATTTGATAGTGGTAATAAGACTAAAGAGATCAAAGTGAAAATAAGAATAAGGGTTGTCAAAAATGACCAATTAGAACTCAAAAGATCACATTGTAACACGTATTACGATTCCAAATTCTACTTGAATATTCCCATCTGAGGCTTCACCAGGAAAAGTATCAAAAGCTAATTACCATGAGACGCAACTGTCTTGCAGCTGAAGCAGAAGCAGCTTGTGAGTCTGGATCCATAGCGTCATACCCTTGTAGTAGACGTGTGTACATGGTCGGAACCTATGTAACGCAAAAAGGAAAGACAATAATTACACTCTTCGAAATGCCAAATGCTTAATATAGAATGGATAAGTTTGTTGAATTTGACTAGTTGAAAACTATAAATACAACAATCTGACTAGTTGATGATATCAGAAACTCAACTTACTCCTGTAAACACGGTTATAGCATCATCAGCTTTGGTTTCGTCACTTAAATAAGATTCACGCCATCTCTGCCAGATTCCTCTCACACTGAATTTTGGCATGAATTCAATCTTCCAAAACATAAACGGATATAATATAATCAATTAATATACTGCAAGTAAAACTTAAATTGAAGGATAACTATATCACAAAAGATCAATTTAAAATCTGAAACGAATTCTTGCAAATGTTAAGTTGAATGTGAGAGGGAATTACTGTGGAACCCGCATAGAGAGGGGCCAACAAAGCGTTAAAAAGTCCATGAGCATGTATGGAAGTAGTTAAGATCGACAATAAATTGAAGTTTCAAACCATATCAAGCAACATGTATTAATCGAACAATAATTGTGTATATAATACTAAGGGTGTGTTTGAACCACATTATTTTGGAAGAATGTATTTTGAAATAGTAGATTGATGGAGAATGTGTGGTTGAAAAGGAAAGAAACGTTATTGATGTGATGGAAAATATTATTTTATTGAAAAATGTGCGGATAAAAATGAGTATAAGAATGAGAATGAAAATCTTAATGTGGTTCAAACAAGGGCTAAAAGCCAACTTTTGACAAAGGAAAAGCGACAAAATTCTGGATATGATGTAGAGGTAGACAGTGCAAGAATTGATCGCTGGCCGTATATCCCCATGCATCTGTTAACATTTGAACCTGAAAGTACAACAACAATTTAGCATTAGTTGTTGGGGATATATAATTGACCCAGGAACCAATTTAAAATGAGATATTTAACAAAGATTTGAGGTATGGAGATCACAATTTCTGTAAGCCTGCAATATAAATGATTACTATATGTTGCATATACAAGAAAAAAACTAGTAGTTAAGTAATTACACCGTCTTGAACTAAGTGATTAATAACTAACTGACAAAAGAGATGCGTAATTGTAATATAATGTTTTGATTCTTGAAGAAAATACAATTTTCATAAGCAATTGAAAACATGTGCTGTTTCTCCATATATAAATTAATATATTACTATGTCAAAGCCATTATGTGTGACAATTCTCTCAGCTTCCTTTAAAAGTGCTTAGCAGAGAACTATTTTGCAAACAGGGAAAAGCCACTAAACATTGACTGATTAAAGATTCAACAAATAATTCCCAATTGAAACTAAGAACAAATCTTCAGTAATGACAGGCTCTGGTTTCCACATCAGAAGCTTTTGCCTATAAGAAGATCAACAATTTTAAGTCCCAACAGAAATTAAGTGCAAATGAGTACCTGTGCGAAGATCCCTTTGTGTGTGTGGACAACTCCTTTCGGTTTACCTGTTGTACCACTGGTGTATATAATCAATGCTGGGTCATCACCTGCATTTAAACATTAAAGTACGCAAGTGAGAATAACATCGCTTACACAGTAACACTCATATACAACAGTTATGATATAAAATTATGTGAATTCAAATGTAACACACCATTTATGTCATTGGAGACTTTATCACCATCTGTTTCTCCATTTCTCAGGTCATCATGCTCAGTAGGGTCTGAATTTATACTTGAAACATTAGGAAGTAGAGATGACTGAGCACTGGTTTTAGCTGTAACGGTTTTCATAAGTTCTTGATGATCTTCAGTACTCAGAATCATGGCTACATCCTACGTTCAAATTGACAGAAGAATTTCAATTATTGTAGAAGGAACAATCGTATCACCATATATATCTCATACGTTGTTATATAATACCAATGAAAAGAAGACCATAATTTTCTGACCAAAAGGATGTGGGAGCTAAAACAGTTTGGCATAGGATGATGGTAAAAAATGGATATAAATATGCAAGCAGCTTTAGGATTTAGGTCATGGATGTATATTACATTTTATAGTCATCAAAAGAAAGTTGGGCGATATTGGAAGTTAAATGTATATCCTTTGCCTGCCATAGAGTGTATAAGATCACTGAAAAATGAAAAAGTAGTTTAAATAGACTTGAGCCAGCTGCAGATGTAGAGAAAAGTTGTCCTCCATTGCAAATGTAAAGAAAATTGTAATCAGTTGCTTATAATAATCTTTGTCAAGGCACATTGCAGATGGGGTCTTATAATATATTGTCGTGGTCAATTATTAATTAGAGGATATATTAATGGAAAGACGACTTAAGTGGTTAGAACATCCCAACCACAGACCCGAGTATTCATGAAGCCGATCACGAATTTTTACGAATCGGTCTTAGTCTTTTGCTGTTATATCACATCATTAATTAGAAAGAAACACCAAATCACACTGAGAATTCAAGTGTTAAGCAACAGAAAGAAAGAAGAAAGAGCAGACGATTGAACTGAAACGAACACTACTGTCATATTTGAAGGAAAAAAATTTCGCAGCATTCCTTTTCCGTGCCAAGCCAAGGATATCTTTTTACGGAACTGCAAGAAAGGAATTACTGAACTACATGTAGGTATAGCATCCAACCTGCATAGCTTCATGCAATGGCACATGCTGCAGCTATATCTATCGAAAGATACAAGAAAGAGAAAAAGGTTTCAACTTACATTTTTCAAATCAGCATTACATAACAAACTTGATATCTTCCGAGCAGATAAGATCAGTTGATGGTAAGTGTAACTTTTATGATCAGTTCTTACGGCAATACTCTTGGGAGATATAGATCCTGTGCTTGCAACTGTCCTTATGAGCTCCCAAAGTATATTATTTACTGAACCTGTAAAATGAATCCCAGAAAGAGAGTCAAATACAATATAATCAGTAATTTGGAAGGCAACTGACAACAAACTCTCCCCCTCCCTTCCACCCTACCCCAACCGCACAGGAACCATAATCATGGGCTCCTCTTCTTCTTCTTGTTAACAAACAAAGTGGAGCACAGAGTCTTTGCGATAACAAATTGGGAAATAACTTCAAAATGAGGGAAAACAAGCTACACACGAGCTGTCTCAAATTTAACATGCTAGAAAACAAGCTACACACGAGCTGTCTCAAATTGAACATGCTAGAAAACAAGCTACAAATGAGCTGTCTCGTAAACTGTTAGTTCATGACACCCTACTAGTTTCTTCATTATCTGTACCAATTCTGAACTTGGGGGGTTGGAATCCTTAGCTTTAGAAGGAGGTAAAGTTTTTGGAACGACAATCGGTACCCTTACAACATTAGGCAAAACTTACATGGGTTCTCCGTAAAAAATTATGACCTTTACGTTTAGCCAATTTAGAGCCTAATACATGATCATTCAAATCATTTATATGTGATAGGTTCAATTCAAGGTAGAATTATGTAACCCATTTAATTGTGTCTCTCGTCAATTAGTGCCTGAATAAAATGAGATTCAAAGAAAATACATCAATTCCAACAAACCTAACGGAATCTCTACTGCAAAGTAGTTGTTTTTCCTGATTTCCCGTTCCAAGCTCTGAACTTGCTGCGACTACAGTTCAAAGAGCCGCCAGAACGGTGAGCTTCTGGCACTACAAATCATGCGACATTCACACGTATTAATAGAATTGAAACCGCCAAATTCCCATTTGATTGCATAAAATATTTTTCAAATAACTCAAAACTACATCCCAATAATCAATTAACCTCAATTAGCACAGTAACAAAAGCCATTAACAGAGTAACAGATCCCGCAAGATAAGAACTTTTCTCACAAACCCATTTCCCTACCCAATAAAATAAACCAAAAACCACTCCATTATGAAACAATCATCGTTAATGTTCAATTTATTCACTCCAATTCAATAATCCAATTAACTAAAGAACAATATCTTTCAACTTAAACTCGATATATGAAAAAAAAAATGCAAATTTACCAGAAGAAAATGACCGAAACTGATTGGAAGCCCAAAAGTTGTGATTTTTATTATTGCGAGACAAAGCATTCAGACAGCATGAGAGTCCCAGATGGGAAAAAGAAATATAATATGGTCTCAGTCCGAGTTTGATGGTCTTAAATACGCTCATGGTAGTTGGTTTCTGCCTTTGGCCTTCTGGCTATTTACAGATTAAATTCGGTCAGTAAAAAAATATTGCGTCCCGCTAATATTTGGGATTTTGTGAGGTTATTCATTCAATTATGGGTTCATGATTCCATTCGATCCTGTGAAGGGTAGGTTGGTATTTGGATTTGGAGGTAGGAGGTGGTGGCTATTAAAAGAGACAAAACGTGGCAGAAATGCGAGGAAAAAGAAGTTTTTGCTGAGGATCAGTGAAAATTCAGAGGCATTATGCGAAAGAAATTAGAATCATGCTGCAGGCCTGGCAGAGCAGATTTTGAGATGGGGGTGGGTGTTTAACATTGGAAAAAAATCATATTTAAAGTGTATTTTTTACCTCAATTCAAAAATAAGGTAAATAATTTAAAAATTTAAAAATCAGGTATTTATTTAATTAATTAAAAATATTTATTAAATAAAGATAATAAAGTCACGTTTTGTGATTAATGGTCACATATTCATAATTTTAA